CTCCCCTGCCATCCACCCCCGCGCGCGCTGCAGCTCCGCCGTTGCCAATTAGCCTCTCCACGCGGGGGCGACTTTACGGCTGATTATATGGAGTGGGGCTGACGCCTCGGGCCCCGGGCTGCCGCCGGGTGGCGCCCCCGCGGCTCCCTCTGCCCCCGCAGCGTCCCGTGTTGCCTCCCGCGGCCCCGCAGCGCCACGGGGCGCGTGCCGCGTGCGTCCGCGGCCCGCAGTCTAGACTCTGGCGTCGACCAAGCTAGAGTACGGACGTGGCTCGTCTATTGCTCTCGGAGCTACCGCATCATCTTGTGAATGATTGCGCAAGAAATACTTGGCTGACCGTATTCCCGAACTGTCGTAATTTTTCCTCCTTGCCTTCCGGATAGCATGAGCCCTCAGAAAATGCAGCTTTATAACAATTTCGGAAAGACCGGAGTACTTAAGATGTCCTGGTGTGGAGGTATTATGGGATATTAGGATATCAGCGATTCGGTGGGGAATTATGGTTTTATTCCGATTTGAAAATGATTATAGAGAGACACAGCCAGGAGCGAGCTTTTCTGAGGAGATGTTGCTGCGGTGGTGGATTGGCTACCTGCTTCCGAGGGTCCACGCAAAGGGATAGGCGGGACCCAGCCGGCCCATGTGTTGCGGGGGTAGCTGAGGAGGTAGTAGTGCAGAAGAGCTCCCATAAGAAAAGCTCGCTCCTAGTTGTGTCTCCCTATAAATTACATATAAATGTGGAGTGAACGGCCAGCGCGCTCTCCAGAACCTCCCCCGTAGTGCCTCGGTCGGCCTCAGGCCTCCGCGGTGTACCGGTCGATGTCCTCGACCGTGGGGAACCAGCCCCAGTCAATCACGTTCTCGATGAGGCCGATGTAGTGCTCGATGAGCTTCGGCGTCGTTCGGAGAGGCACTGAAACGGACTGCTCTGGCGCGGCCATGTCATTGCGCACCTCGTCGACTTGATCGTCATCAGCCGTCATGAAGCTCCACATAAGGGGCTGTATGCAAAGCGCTGGTACCGCCAGGCGCTTCAGCTGCTCCTGGTGTACGAGGAATAGAAATAGCGTCACACAAACAATCCGTCACGTGGGCAAGGTGATCAAACACGCGTTATACACATGCCTTCAGCAGGTCCAATGAGTAGATGTCCTCGGGGTCATCGCAGCCGGACGCCCGCAGGGTGTCGTGCACAACGTCGATGTAGCCCCGCAGCAGGGACTCCCAGTGCTCGTCGCGCATTTCCTTCTCGGTGTTGCAGAACAACAGCCACATGAAGTCTTGGGCGACTTCCATGTACGACCCGACCTGAAAGTCGTACAGCTTGCACGCCTGTACCGCGCCGTCCTGTGGGCACAGCAATCGTTTGCACTTAGTTATCTTTGGTAAACCCGCAGACGACCCACCCATGGGTGACCCGGGCATTAACCCAGGCTCACAGATCGTGACAATGACTCACTTGGAGTCGGATGACGAAACAAAACAAATACCGTGTGTTACGCTGGAACGAGTGACCCCCCCCCCCCCTCTCCGCCGTAGTTTTGTCAAACCCCGAAACCCGTTAAACAGTGGCATGGTGGACCCATAATGTGTAGACCAGGGCTGTCACTCACCTTATCGTACTTAAAGGCCATGTTGTTGATCATGCAGTCCCCGTGGACGAACGTGCATCCGCGGCCGTCCTCAGGAGGCAGCGGCCACATAAGCTGAGGGAAGGTGTCCTTGAAGGAGTCACAGAGCTTCCGCAAGACGGTGTGCACGTGGCTGCCTTTGGGATACCTACTCTCGACAAGACCTTTGGCCACGAGACAATTGGGTAAAAATTTGGATAATTCAGGTGAAACAAAGGGCGTGGAAGGAATAGTGGCCTGCTTGACAGTTTCGACCTTACGAAGCAAAATGCGAAATCCTTCGCAGTTGCAAAGCAATGCTTTGTAGTTACCTGGCAGCGAAGGCACGGGAACGATGAACGGTTTCATTATGTTGCAGAACTCGGGTAGACGGAAGAGGACTGGCAGCTGGTCTTTGATGGTCTTGAACAGTTCGGGGCGCAACCGCACCAGGGCCATGGACGCGCCATGGAACTTGCCGAGCTGTTCGAGTGCAAGCCGCATGTGCGCCGCGTCCAGGCCTTTGCTCCTGTCAGCGTTTACGAAGCCCTCGGGGCCGAAGTCCTCGAGTACAAGGCAGTAAGGTTGTCTACCCTTCACGTCCGAAAAGTAGCACTTGGGCCAGGGCAGCGGCTCGCGCAGACCCGCCAGTTCCTTCTGGGCGGGTAACAGGGTCTCGTACACCAGGCCCTCTATGCCGAACAGACACTCCATCATGGTCTCCATGCCCTCCCTGGAGATCTTCACCATGACTTTCAGCTCAGTGGGCCCCGCCGAGTCCTTAAGGAACCAACAAATCATGTTACGTTACGTCTCCCGCGCTTTAGTGTGTTTCGACTTGCGGAGGAAGAAGAGAAGCTGGTAGAACATAGCCTAAATGTTACCGATTTGTCGAGAACTTCCCACCTCTCGTGCACCTCACGCCGGCAATGGGGGTTAGCGCTCGCCCAATCAGGAACCTTTACATGTTCTACCCACTATTCTTCTTCCTCCGTTAGGCGAAATACACTATTGCATTCTGCATTATTACTCCACGCTACAGCCACTCCCTACCTCATCCCGTATGACGCAGCGGAATAGTGTGCTCATGTAGCCATCACGATTTTGGGCCCCAGACGTCACATGGAAACTGAAGTACAGTGCCGTGCACAAATTACGTCATCGTTGTTTGGTGCCCCCCCCCCCCTCTCTGCCATCATTTGCTGTAACTGGTTTGCTGTCGTGGTCGTCTAGTTAGGGGCCAGGGCAGGTTTCCGGTGGCGCACAGATGGTGCTGCTCGACCGAGTGTTCAGGTGGCGTGGCTCCCCTCCTCTTCCCCTCCCAGAAGCACCTCGCCGGAGTGGAT